TTTGATTTGCGGTCAACTGTTCGGGCCAGCCAGATCTACATAAATTTTAAGCAGTAAGTTTTCTTCATCAAACATTTAGATCCGCTGCGCATAGGTTTATGTTGAATGTTTATCCGTGATTTGTGCATATCGAGATCCTCATGGGTTCCAACAATGGGTTCAGGCCAAGGTTTTGAAAATCGAATCGTTCATCGAACTTGGAACCTACCAGTTCAATGATTCACTGGTCGGGCTAGCCGTCAAACAGATTGTTGAAGTTTGTTTTTTTGCCAACGGGGCAACCACGGAGAGACTTGTATTTGTGTAATATTTTGGAGTTTTATTTATGGATTTTAACAAGACTATTGGATAAAAGATAGTAATTGCAACGAAAAATAAATTACCCGCATTGATGATCTTTTATAATTTATTGATTAATAGCCTTGAATTATAAAGTTTATCAAAATAAATACAACCCGTGCATCGCACGGGCTACGTATTAGTGCCAACTAAATAAAATTAGACTTAAAATATTATTAATTGAATGTTACAACGAATTAATTGGTTTTTAGTCAACGTAGTCTACAGTTGTCCCATTGTTTCTTTACCGAATTTTTTTCCGTGAATTAGAGCTCCACTACTTCCTCTTTTTAATTTTTTATTTAATAATAAAATAATGCAAAACCACATGATTAGGCTCCACTTTCCTTCCATTATTGCAAAATTATCCTTTGACATATTTATCCCTCCTTATATAGTAATTTAAAATGTGTTGAGCCTAACTAATAGGCTCGCACGCTTCAGATGCTGATATTGCGAAAATCTTCGTAATGTTGTTTGTATATTTATTTTTGTTCTGCAATTAGACTTGGTATTAGATGTCAAAACTTTTTTAAAACCTGGTAAATGTATATTTAATTTTATTTTTTTTCTTAGTACACATTTTCTTCTTAATATGAGCAACAATCTCACCATCTTATAATTTTCTTCCATATTTATCTCTTAAATTATAATTTACAAATCACTTTCTACACTGTCTATTTATTTTTTATTAATTAGTCCATAAAAAATTTTAAATAAGATTTGTATTTTAATAATAAATTTTATCATATATTTATTTTTTTGGTACAGGGACCTTTCGGTTTCCGAATCCACAGGAGAACCAACTAATCTGGAATCGAGTCGGGTAGGACCACAAGAGCGGCAAAGCTCTCCCTCAAGAGTTTTAACACTGCTGCATTCCCAGGGCTCGAACACGAGACTACTAGTTAAGCTGGAAGAGACCCAAACCATCTCATCCAAGCGCTCTTTAGTTATTATATATTTATTCACTCAACACTCAATACACCGATATTGTACTAGTTTTATTATATATTATACATAAAATAAAATAACCTTTTATGCAAGCCCGCCATGTGGGACTCTTTGAGCTACGACACCATGACTACACAAATATTTATTTAGTGTATCTGTATGTATATAGTGACCTCCTATGCAAGGCCGCCATGTGCGACTCTTTGAGCTGCGACACCAAGACGAGATCAAATATTTATTAAGTATATTCTTTTGCAGAAGAGAAGTAAATCGGTTGCCAAAGGCGTGCGTGAGAGTGTTGGAAGAGATTTTTTGGATGGAGAGTTTTCTAAAGGAGCAAAGGGGAGGGGAGTGCGTTTTGGACTTGAGCCCGAGATGGACGGTTGGGGGCGGAGTTGAGGACGTCTACGGCGAGGATCGCGCCTCCGAAGATCACCTCGTCACTCCCTGGACTGTCTCCGTTTCTAGGTATTTTTTGTGCTGTCCTGTTTGCTTGTAATTTGAACACATAAGATGATGATTTGATCTTGGTTTTTGAGTCATGGGAAATGCTAAGGTCCGGAACCATTCCGTCGGGGTTTGTATCATCTATTTCCGATGATTACATGATCTAACGATTACGGGACCGTAGCATCTCCCTATATGAGTACCTATCACCATATCTTGATTCGTTAAATTGCGAGATTTTATGCATATGGGTATCTATCAGCAATTCAACATATCTTGATTCTCCCTCAAATCCTTTGATAAATAAATAGCGGGTATAATTTGCTGAGAGACCCTCATCACAACAAGGGGCTTGCCTTTACTGAGAGAGAGAGAGATGCTCATTACTTGCGTGGCCTTCTGCCGCCGGCTGTTATTTCCCAGGAGCTTCAGGTCAACTTGATTAGTTAATTCTGTACTAAGTTTCCTCTTTCCTTGATATTTTGTGTATTAAAATCTATTCACTTACTCTTATGTCTGATATGATATGATATGACATATCAGGAGAAAAAGCTAATGCAGAGTCTTAGGCAATATGAAGTTCCTCTGCACAAATACATGGCAATGATGGAACTCGAGGTACTGCTACAACTTGGCCAGTATATCATTATCACTTAATCTTGTTCTTGATTGTTTTTGTTTGTACTAACAATCCTGGCTTGCTAATTGTACAGGAAAGAAATGAGAGATTGTTTTACAAGCTTCTAATCGACAATGTGGAGGAGCTGCTTCCGGTGGTCTACACCCCGACCGTGGGCGAGGCTTGCCAGAAATATGGAAGTATCTTTAGGCGGCCTCAGGGTTTATATATAAGTTTGAAGGAAAAGTAAGTTTAATCTTCAGTAATATTATCCTACTGTTAAGATAACAGTATCTTTGTATGAACCATGAGTGTGAGTTTGTCGCTTGCAGGGGCAAAATTCTCGAGGTTTTGCGCAACTGGCCTGAGAAGTCAATTCAAGTTATTGTTGTGACTGATGGTGAAAGGATCTTGGGACTCGGGGATCTTGGCTGCCAGGTGAACATCTTGGATTCTTTTTGTTCTTTAAACATAAATTATTCAAGACAATATTATAATATATACATGTATATACATAATTCCAGATGTTAAGTATGCTTGTTATAATGATGCAGGGTATGGGAATACCAGTCGGGAAATTGGCTTTGTACACTGCCCTAGGAGGTGTCAGGCCTTCTGCGGTAAGCTTGAAAACAGGAAGAATAGGAAGAATGGTTACTGTTATTTATATATTTTCCCATTATCTTGGTCGATATGATTCTATAAAGCTTTTTAACATTTTATCCGTAGTGTTTGCCGATAACAATTGATGTTGGTACCAACAACGAGAAGCTACTAAATGATGAATTCTACATTGGGCTCAGACAGAAACGGGCGACTGGAAAGGTTAATTTTCACACCTGGTTGCTTAAGTTTGTAATCCACTATTTTATTTTATTTTTTGTTTCTAGCCTTTGTTGAAAATAACACACTAATGACGATTGATTGCAGGAATACTATGACTTGTTGCATGAGTTCATGACTGCCGTGAAACAAAATTACGGCGAAAAAGTTCTTGTACAGGTTAGTTATTTTTGTTAGTCTTTGCTCTCAGTTTTCCGAGGCTTTTTTTCTTGTTAACAATGGTGAATTTGTAACTGCAGTTTGAGGATTTTGCGAACCACAATGCTTTTGAGCTTTTGGCTAAATATGGAACCACCCACTTGGTTTTCAATGATGATATACAGGTATGCGTCTGTGCTAGTTCTTGGCTGGCTTTTGTTTAAAGAATTTTCCTTCTCATATAACTCTTTTTTCTTATTCAGGGGACAGCATCTGTTGTGCTTGCTGGGCTTGTTGCATCGCTTAAGTTGCTTGGTGGTACCTTGTCTGATCAAACATTCTTGTTCCTTGGAGCAGGAGAGGTACCTAGCTTAATGCTATTTGCACTTGTTATGACCTTTTCTAGTTGGTTTAGAATCTTTTAATTGGACAAAAGAGTCGACAGGATGAAAAATAAGACTACCCTGTTGAGACCAAATGAATTCTTAATGAGGCACTCATAGGAATCGCTTGCTTTTTAAGTAACTAGGAAATTGAGAAACTCTTCTAGTTTCAGTCCTTACTTTGAAGGATTATCTTTTTTTAATAAATTCATGCAGAAAATTACAAGAAGACAACCAAAAAGAAAAATCAAAATGAAATTAGGTGGTTATTTATTACGAGTTAAACACACTTCTAATACCGTCAGGGTTACTTTCGTAATTGCAGGCTGGAACTGGCATAGCAGAACTTATAGCCCTTGAAATGTCGAAGCAGGTGAAACATTTTGCTCCATACTGCTTCTTACTAATACGGATGCTTTACCGCCAGTAATTTTCTGATTATGATTTTTGTAATACACAGACAAAAGCTCCTCTGGTAGAAACCCGCAAAAAGATATGGTTGGTCGACTCCAAGGTACCTACTTTGTGCCAAATAGATTGTACGTCATAGACTATATCTATTATTCCCTTCAATAGTTGGTAATTGTGTTACTGATAACAAATGCGTGTCATCATTTTATCAGGGCTTAATTGTAAGTCACCGTAAGGAATCACTTCAGCACTTCAAGAAACCTTGGGCCCATGAGTGCGAACCTGTTGACAATCTCTTAGATGCTGTCAAGGTTTGTTTAACTCTACATATGCTATTTTTGTTAAAAAAAAATAAAAAATTAAATTCTTTGACATGTTAATATGTACTGCTTGCTTTAAACATTGTTAGACCATCAAACCAACTGCATTGATCGGAACTTCTGGTGTTGGGAAAACATTCACAAAGGAGGTGGTGGAGGCTATGGCCTCCTTCAATGAGGTACTCCGTTGTGCATCCTTTTGTGTGCGTCTACCGAATATATATCTCGTCTAAATTAGTAAAATATAAAACTGATTATGCAGAGACCTCTTATCATGGCCTTGTCCAACCCAACCTCACAATCTGAGTGCACGGCTGAAGAAGCTTATACTTGGACCGAGGTCTAAATGATTGATAAACTTTACACTCTTTTGTAATATTTTCTTCAATAACATCTAGCAGACTGAAATTTTCTATTGAAACTCTTTTTTTCTCTAAAGGGTCGTGCTATTTTTGCAAGTGGAAGTCCTTTCGAGCCTGTCGAGTTCAACGGGAAACGTTTTGTACCTGGCCAGGTTTCTACCTTTTGTTACGAATTTACCATTCACAATTTTTTAGCATGGTTAATTCAGGACTAATTATTGTAAATGTCTTCTTGGACCTTGGTGTACGTCAGGCAAACAATGCTTATATATTTCCTGGGCTTGGTTTTGGGCTGGTGATTTCTGGTGCCATTCGGGTGCATGATGACATGCTCCTGGCTGCATGTAAGTGTATAATTGCAAAATATATATGATACTTTGATGAGCTATCATTTTGATCTATAGGTCACGTTTGATGATTAGAATATTATAAACCTACTTAGTCGCGAGAATTAATGAAGTAGTCCATCGTTGACATTTGTGTTGAAACAGCGGAGGCTTTGGCTGGTCAAGTAACACAAGAACATTATGATAAGGGGATGATATATCCTCCATTTTCTAGTATAAGAAAGATTTCAGCACACATTGCTGCAAATGTTGCTGCTAAAGCATATGAACTAGGTTCGTGTCATTCCCTTCTTCCGTATATATGTGTCGTGTGCATTTATCATATATAATATATATATATATATATATATATATATACTCTAACGAGCTGATTACTTTTATGTAGGTTTGGCAACACGACTCCCTCGACCTGCTGACTTGGTTAAGTATGCTGAGAGCTGCATGTACACTCCAAATTACAGGAGCTACCGCTGATTGTATCTACTGTAATATGCATATTTTCTTGTTTTGTTTCGAAGCACGTTTCACGTCTGTATGTGTAACATCTGGCTCGTATAGGGCTTCAAGTGTGATTGGTTGTGATAAATAAAAGAGAATATCATGTACTTTCTCCTGTTATGTAAATTTTCATAAGTTGATGAATATAACACTGATACTGTCTGAATTCAGTGATGATTATAATTAATGATATAAACTGATACTGTCTGAATTCAGTGATGATTATAATTAATGATATGTAATGGACATAATTTTCGTACGTATGATATGACTTGCCTCTTATAAAAGCGTGGATTTTACTAACTGTGTCGAGTCGAAGTCTGAAATTCGAAACTTCTAAAACAGAGGCATGTTTTTATACTTTTCACTCATAAAGGGTTTTAAACTAACATCCAGCTTGAAAGCTAGCAAGATTGAAGAAGGCACCTTTGCTGCTCTTGAGCACTTCATACGTCCCTCTCTCGACCACCTTCCCTTCCGCTACCACAGCCACCAAGTCCACATTCCTGATTGTGTTCAGCCGGTGGGCCACTACAACAGTTGTCCGCATAGCCATCACACGGTCAAGCGCCTTTTGCACGGCCTGCTCCGACTGCATGTCGAGGGCACTCGTGGCCTCATCCAGCAACAGTATAGTCGGGTCACGAATGATGGCTCTTGCTATTGCTATCCTCTGTTTTTGCCCTCCCGATAGCTGCACTCCCCTCTCCCCGCATTCCGTGTTGTATCCATTCGTTAAGGCACTGCAGATTAAAAACCTTATGAATTTAGTTTTAGTTTTAGAATGTGTTTGGAGAAAGAGATCAGTAGCTTGCCTGATAAATTCGTGTGCGTTGGCTGCCTTGGCCGCCTCAACCACTTCATTTTCGGATGCATCGAGTCTCCCTAGCATTATGTTCTCGCGAATGCTGCCCGAGTATATGACAGGCTCTTGGCTCACGATGGCCATGTGTTTTCTATACCACACAATGTCCAGTGACCTAATGTCCACACCATCAACCTTGATCGAGCCACGATCCACGTCGTAAAATCTTTGAATCAGGGATATAACAGTCGATTTCCCGCACCCGCTCTTCCCGACAAGCCCTGTGCTCGTCCCCGCCTTCAAATCCAGGCTAAAATCGCGCAAGATTAAAATCCCCGGCCTCCCTGGATATGCAAAGTCGACGTTTTTCATCTCGATTTCACCCCTCATCTTTTCAAACTTCATTGCAACCTAATCAAAGGAAAAAAAAATGCTAAAAATAATAAATTGAGTGAAAAAAGTATGTATATCAATCTATTTATCTATCTTACTCACATTGTCGGGTCCTCCAATCAGCGACTGGCGGTCCAAGATGGCGAACACGGACGCGAGAGCTGCTGACCCCTTTGCCAGGTCAGACGTCATGCTCCCAGCGTCAGCCACCACTTTCCCCGTGCTCACGAGCACGAAAAACGTCTTGAACACGTCCCCAGAAGATATCTCCCCTCTGCTCACCAACGTGCCCGCATACCAGAAGTCGAGGGCCCAGCACATGAAAGTCAGGCCCTGGGCCGACCCCATTCCGGCCCCCGCCAGCCACGATTTCTTCCCGGCCCCCCTCCGCAGCTCATCCTGAGCCCGATCAAAAACCCCGAGAACTTCCCGGACACCACCGAACGACGTGACGACCCTATGGTTGCTCACGGCCTCCGCCGCCACCTGCGTGCTCGAGTTTTGCGACCGGACGAATTCACCCGTCATGCTCGACAACATCACTCTCCGCGTGTAGAAGCATAAGACTGCGAGCGGCTGCACAGCTATCATGACGAGCGCAAGCTTCCAGGCCATGATTAATCCTATTACGGCTGCAGTGGCGACGGACGATGTTGTCTGAATCAGCAGGGATGCTCGGTCGGCCACGAGTGACTTGACTGCAGATGCCTGGCGGCCCAGCTGGGAGCAGAGGGTCCCGCTCGAGTTCTCGTCCCGGTCGAACCAGGCAGCCTCGAACGTGAGCATCTTCTCGAGCGTACGGAGCCGGACCCTCCTTGTGAGGCCCTCGCCCACGCGTGCAAAATTATAGTGCTGGAAGAGGTTTAGAGCAACGGACGCAAGGAAGAGCAAGATGAAGGCGAGAGCGTATTTCTTGATGCATGCTCGCATCTCGTTTTGATCGATTATGTAAAAGGTGGAGACCATGCTGCCAGCTGTGAGGGCATAGAGAGGATGCACGGTGCCCGAGGCAGCGGCTGAGAGGCTGCCCATGACAGCTTGTTTCCATTCTGGGGAGTTAAGGGAGACGAGGCGAAGGAAGGACGGATGTTGAGGCTTTATGTCGGGTGTCTTTGGGAGATCTTTAGGGGAGGTGGGAATTGGTGAGGGCAGGAGGGGTGGTTTGTGGGCCTGGTCTGGGTCTCGGGTGTTGATGCTCGACTGCTTCTGGAGCTTTGTGAGTCGAGTGTAGTGGCTGCTTGCCGAGGCGGAGAGGTTGGCATGGGTCCCGGCCTCGACGATGCGGCCGTTGCTCACGACGGCGATCCTGTCAGCATTTCTGATGGTTGACAGCTTGTGGGCGACTAACTGGTTATTAAAAAAAAAAAGAAAAAGGAAACTCCTGTTTAGTTGTTGGTTTTGTCTTTGAGGTGAAAATGATCTAAAGAAATTATAGGGTACTCATAAATGTATTTGCGCGAGCGTGCAAATGTGTGTGCGACTGTGCGCTAACCAGTGTTGTTCGGCCGGTGGAGGCTTGATCCAGAGCAAGTTGAACGAGTGTTTCTGACTCCGAGTCGAGTGCGCTTGTTGCCTCGTCAAGGAGGAGAATGACAGGATTCCTTATGATGGCTCTGGCGATGGCGATCCGCTGCTTTTGTCCTCCTGATAAAAGTGCGCCTCTTTCCCCAATCTACGTATAATATATGTATATGAGAAAGACCTGACGATGTCATTTCTGTGTATTACAACGATTCATGAGAACAGAAATGATTCGATATTTCCAACTGACCTTAGTTTCATACCCGTGTGGAAGCTGCATTATGAACGCGTGAGCATTCGCCATCGTTGCCGCCACAATCACATCATCCATGGATGCATCGGGCTTCCCGAACAATATATTCTCCTTAACCGACGTCCCGAACAAAGCATGCTCCTGGCTCACCAGGCCCATTTGCTCCCTCAGCCATTTAAGCCTCAACCCGCGTATGTCACTCCCATCGATCCGCACGGCCCCACCAATCGGGTCGTAAAACCGCTGCACGAGCGCAATAGCTGTCGACTTCCCGCTCCCGCTTGCTCCGGCGAGAGCCACTTTCTGTCCCGCTCGGATCGTAAGGCTCAAGTCTTCGAGCACGAGCGCGTCCGGGCGCGAGGGGTATGCGAACTTGACGTGCTCGAATTCGATCTCTCCTCTTAAATTGGCTAATACGGTCCCGTTTGGGTCCTCCGCGTCGATTAGTGGGGCCCGGCCAATCGTGTCGAGTATTCTCGATGCTGCGAGTGATGCCTCGGCAAAGTGCTTCAGTTCTGGTAGAGCCACTCCTAAAGCCCTGGTGATTACCAAATATTTTTACACATGGTTTTCAATTTCCCAATTTGGAAAAAAAAAATCAGTTAAAAGGAAAATTTGCATTTTTAGTCTCTTGCTTTGAAGTCATAAACATTTTAATCTCAAGGTTCCAACATTTGCTTTTTGGTCTTGTGATTTAATATTGTGCATGAAAAATTCGAATCTTGAGACTAAAATTGCTATAACGTTAAACCAGGAGGACTAAAAATGTAAATTGAAGGCACTTACAGTCCACCCAATACGAAGGAAATCCCAGAGGCGTAAATCCTCCCGCCACTTTCTCCATTGTGCATGATGAGGTGGCTCCCGTACCAAGCGAACAGAGCCCATATCGCGAAAGTAATTCCGGTGCTTCCAATGGCGAGACCTTTTGCGATTCCCTCTTTGATCCCGAGCTTTTCGGCTCGGCCCAGTATGGACGAGTACTTGTCGACAATGCTCTTTTCAGCAGTAAACGAGTAGACAGTCTTGATGGAGCTGAGGGCTTGCATGAGAATCGTGTTTGCTTTGCTGTACTCGCTGAAGCTCTTTCTCGAGAGACTGCCGAGGTACTTTCCGTATATCAAACCAGGTACGATTAAGAGGATGATAGTCGGTAAGGCCACGAGCGACAGCCTCCATGAGAAATAGAACGAGAAAGCGACTCCGGATATGAAAATGGATATGTTCACCAAGAAAATCGGCACCTACATTCCCATTAACAATTAATATAGATCAATTTTGCTATGGAGCCATCAGATGACACGACTTATGGAGTCATCCACACTTATTCACAAATAATGTACTGACACGTGTCCTCCAATAATACACTTTGGGCATGTGTCAATACATTAGGTGATGCATGACTCCAAACTGACTTTCTTCTTTTCTTTTTTTTTTTTTAAAAAAAAAAAATAGACAAATAAGAACAACAAAAATTGTTTACCTTCTCACTGAGGACTTGTTGTATGAGGGAAGTGTCTCTGGAGATGGTGTTTATGATGTCAGAGGTTTTTGCTTCATGGGAGTCGAAAAAACCGACGTCTTGTCTGAGAAGTGCTTCCAAGTACTTGTAACGTATCCTTAGGACCTGTCGTTCGCTGGTTTTGTTCCAGCAGTATCCCTCTGCATTAATATTGTACAAACAATTCCTATATTAGAAACAAGCTTTTGTGTCTCTTTCAACACCTTTACTTCCCCTTCTGTCAAAAGAAAAAGATCATTAATTTGCCCGAAAAACGATGATGAAAGGAGCGATTTACCCATAAACGCTAGCGCCATGACTGCTAGTCCCAGGTACACATAGTACAAACTGCACTGTTGAAATCAAATAAAGCATGATGAAGTTAACATATACAAGCAAACCGAACACAACTAATGTAGAAATTACAACTAGCTAGTAAACGAACCTTTTCCACTTCGTCCATAAAGTGGCGAGACCTGTTGGCCTGACCCAAACTGTTGAAAATCCGGCTCATGTACACGAGTAACCAGTTTGAGACTGTTCCGTCTCCAATAGCACCAATCGTGCCCATGATCATCAGCAAAATATCTACCCGGTCAGCGGCATACCGGAAAATTATGTTTATTGAACTTCTCCTAATATCCTTATTTGCAGCCATGTCTACCCCTTTCTCTCTATGCATAAGGTGATCATTAATTTTCTTGTATTCTAGCAAGTTAAATTATATTATCAGCCTGAACTGATCATGGACTCTTATAATTTGCTATATATAGCATGAGGAGGTTATGTATAAATAGGTGTAGAATTAACAATGTGCTAGTACAACTTTTTTTTTTTTTTCATAATTTATTCTGATTAAAATTA